GATACTTAAATAATGCATTCAACTTTCATTAAACAACAGAAGATGTAACATAAAGCCCAAATATACATAACTAATAACAAAAACTATAAAAAAAAAAACATGACTATTTAAACAAAATACTTTCAAATGTGGAGTGTCATGCAGGGAATTCTGGGAATATCAGTTTACAGTTTTTGACTAAATTATACATTGATTTGTTATTTTTATTTCTAAAAACTGTCAAATTAACAGCATTTTACTGTAAAATTACATGAAATGTCTGGTTAGATATTTTACAGTTTTTCCCTGTATATAGTACGGGAACTTACTGTTAACCTATTAACATTTTTTTCCCGTAGCGTTTTTACAAAATGTTAGTTAAAATTACACTTATTTTTTACAGTGCATTTATTTTGAAAGATGAAGCTGGCGATTATGGTAAGGGGCGTTACATTTCCGACGAGTGCTTGCGGTGTTCGGCCAATCACAATGCACTGGGTCAGCTGGCCAATCAGAGCAGACCGCGCTTGTCGGAAGGAGGGACTTTGTAGAAAACGAAGCGTTTGAGAGAGGCGGGGCATAGAAGACCTACAATAATGTACAGTATTTAAAAAATAATGTGTTTTTTGAACATTAAAGCATGTCAACATATTCTGTTACACCAAATACACCAAATAATGGTCTTTAAAAAAAGCATCATATGACCCCTTTAATGTGAAAACAAAGAACATATAGTATTTGTGCATTACGATGGCATTTGTGTTGCATTTAATTGATGTTGCATTGCAGTAAATCAGTGTAATTCAGCAAAAATACTGTCATTTAGAGCAAGAACCACCATTGAAAATAGTAATTAAAAAAAATACTTGTGTGGATACATTTGGAAGCAATTTTATCTTAATTATCTTTATGCAAAATTCTAGAATTCTTCTATGTTGGGGTGAAATGTGTCTTTGTTGTTTTTGTGAGATTCACCTAATTTTATGAAAAAGACCAGCGGAAAATGAAATGACAGTTTGAAAGGTGCATGAGATATTTTATATATATATATATATATATATTGAGGACAAATACTTGGGTCAAGTGATTAAAACTTTGGCATCATCTCGCCATCTTTATCTAAAAGTAACATGGCAGGATGCCTTAAAAAAGGAGGACTGACCTTGAGTTAATGTTCCTGTCTTCGTTATTTTCGTGGCAGTTACAGACTGTAAAATTGAAAATGGAAGCAGTGTTATTTGAGTCCAGCTGTCTTGGAAAATAGCAGTAAATACATGTTCTGGTGTATTTTTATGCAT